TAAAGTTAAAGAGTTTAAATTAATGAAGCACAAATACAGTAAATCATTGTGATGTCAGATTCGCATGTAACTATATAACTATGCATGATTATGATGGTACAAAATGGTATAAGTGTACCAAAACCCCTGTTTCTCTATACCAGAACATGTTATGCTGTCATGTTAAACCAGAGCCTTGTGTTTTTATAATGCAGTTCTATTCTTACTGACCAGTGAAAGTGTTTGGTTTTTTTTTTTACAACAAGCTATGTTCAAATACATCCATATAGCACTTTATTCTTTGTGCTTTAAGTGCTTTTTAATCTGTCATGTATGCTTTCACATTCTAATGGTTTCATTTCAATTTGGTTTTCAGTGTCTTGCCCAGGGTCACTGTGATATGTAGACTGGGTGGACCCAGGATCTAATTCTGGAAAATACAGCAGCTGTAGCTAGCAGACACAGTGTGTGACAAACAGTTGTGTGTTTGATGATATTTGTTGAGCTGATGGAAATGTTTAATTTAAAATGACCTTCCACATTAAAGTGTTATGCTGAAGTACTCTGACCACAGTTCATGGGCATCTGCACAGAAAACACTGTTCCAAATGGTTCTGGCTCACTTTAACCACTCTGTATAATACAATAAAAGATTTTGTAAAATTATGTTGTTTTTCCTCTCTTAGTATGCAAATAAGTCTTGGTGATGAACGCACCAATAAAATTGTCCTTTCTGCGTTACCTCCGCTTGTGCTCAAATCCAGTTGTTTTTTGAATTGTCAGTGACATGAAGTTAACAAGCTTGTTTTGAAAATGTAAGGAGCAGAAAGTACAGCCATTTCTGTTAAAACATAAAAGTGTTCAGAAAACATAAAAAGAACTTGTTACTGAATAGTATTTGTAGTACTTGTGCTTTATGTCTGTGAAGGTTCTCAGTCGTCCAGGTCATCGTAGTCTAAGGAGCTTGGAAAGAAAAGCGTCTGGACTTCTTTAAGTTGCTTGAAGATGTTTCACCTCTCGTCCGAGAAGAAGAGGCACCTCGACGGGACAAGACTTGGCTGTCCATCTGCATCTAAAAGGCAAAGGTCACTCTTTCGAGGATACCAACGTTCGCATGACAGAAGAATAGCAGCAAGAACGAGAAGGTTTACAAGATACAAGTCTTGACAATAGACCTGCTTTAATGTGTGGTCTGCATTAACAAAAAGACAGGAGGTGGAGGTAGCAGAGTTGAAGAGTGAACATGATTAGAAATTAACACGTTAGTGGGATAGCTCAGATTGAGTGGTTAGAGGACAAGGATAAAGATGGTTAGACATGTGCAGAGGAGGGATGGTGGTCATAGTAAATAACCACCATCATTATATAGTTATAACAAAGGATGTTAAAGGTGGAACCACCAGGTAGGAGGAAAAGAGGAAAACCACAGAGACGATTCATGGATGTAGTGAAGGATTCCATGCAGAGGGCTGGTGTAATGGAGGAGGACTTCAGGGTTAGGGTGAGATAAAGACAGACGATCCACTGTGATGACCCCAAAGAAGAAGACGCAAGTTACAGTTGTAGCCACAGCTGCCCTGGGGCAGACTGACAGAAGCGAGGCTGCCACATCGCGCCATCTGCCCTTCTGGCCAACACCAGTAGGCGGTAGGTGAAGTGTCTTGCCCAAGGACACAACGACCGAGACTGTCCGAGCCGGGGCTCGAACCGGCAACCTTCCAATTACAAGGCGAACTCCCAACTCTTGAGCCACAAATTGATGTCATAAGAATTCGTGTTTACAATTCTGAAGTCGAGTTACAAAATAAGGTTTTCTTTGACTGTATGTAAACATTTCCCTGCATAGTGCTTTACAGTGCAGGGCATGGAACTGTGACAGTTGTGGCTTTATCAGAACTGAGGTCTATGTGCAGTTCAGTGTGTGCAGAAGTACTCATATGAGTCTCGTGCGTCCAGGTCACGCAACCTCTGACAGCACCAGCCTCTCTGGGAGCTTACTGTTGCACAGAGAGCTGAGGATGAAGATGCACGTCCTATGCACTGTGAGCCACTGGGATAAAGCAAGTTCATTATTGACTCGCCCTCGGCCATCGCTTCACATCTTCCCTCCCCCTCTGAGGATGGGGGAATAGTCTCATCAGTTTTGCCCTGCACTGCCACGGGCTACCCTGACTGATGTAGTGCCTTCTTACCAAACGACATATTTGCCGACCTTCATAGACATTTTGTTATCCTCACCTGACATAATCAATGATTACCACACTGAATAAGACATTTTAAAATACACACACACGCACACACACGCACACAAACACACCAACTTTTTAGCATTGGCAAACCTAGCATCTTGAAGTATGTTGCACAGACCTTTTTTCTAATGTATAGACAGAGCTTTGGGTCCATTTCCTTGTCTAATCTAATTTAATATACTGTAATGTAACATTGTGTCCAGCATAAGATGAATCTATGTTATGGATTTGGAGATAAAGCAAACTCAGATGGGATCTCCCAGTAGAGAGCAGAGCACATGCATACATCTTCAGTCACCCTCTCTCTCTGTGATCAATCTGCCAAAAAACCTGAAAACAATATTAATTAATTCATGTGGCTTCACATCGCATGGCTTTAACCTTAACAGAAAGCCAGCAGGGATGAGACGGATCTTTTGTGTTTGTGTTTGCACAGCTTGCCTTCTGCAGAGTCATGATGCCAGGGTGCCAGGGTGTGCTACCCTCCAAACAGCCCCTCCTGCCGGCTCATTTGGCTCTTGGAAAACAAAATGCCATTTGATTACAGAAATGTAAAAGCTATGGACCTAACACAGCGTGAGATAAGGAAAAAAGCCAGCCCCACAAATCCTGATGAACTCATCCAAAGATGAGCTGTAAGCCACCGCCATCAGATCAGTCATGGAAATCAGCCCGGCATTATTTGTTATTGGCTTTGAGCATGCAACAGCGGCTCAATGTGTCTGCACTTTAATGTGGAAATAAATAACTTATGAGTGAGAATCTGAACAGTCAGAAGGCTTGTATGAGCCTGTTGTCATCGCTGTTAGCATGAGGGTGTGATGATGAAAAAAGCAAAACAATATAAAAAATACTAAACTATGTCATTAATGTGGCTAGCTTTAATCATTACTCCAGGTAACTCAGGTTTAAACATTAGTCCGCTCCCTTTACATAACAAGCTGATAATTTGCCCGAGAACAGTTTGCTGTAACTATATGTGTAAAAAAGCCCCGAGATGACTCAAAACCTCAAGATAAGCAGCTCCATATATCTACAGAGCCTCCTTTTTAATTTCACTCAGTCATCTAGAAACGTCTGAGTTCCACCACTTGAACACAGCCTTTCAGTGTGAGACAATGGCTCCTATAGTAATTACAGTAAACGCTGCTGCAACAATGAGTCTCGCACTGTTCTCTGAATCAGATCAGCGGTAAAAAGAAAAAAGGCAATAGCAGTGGAGGTAAATGAGGAGAAAAAACACACACACACTTTTCCAGGTTTGTGAATTGTAATCTGACATAAACAGATGCTTTGAGGAGCGCGTCATCCCCATCCTTTTGTGTGCTGCACACAATAGCAACTGTGTTTTTCATCCAACATGCGTTATGCAGCTTTTCATCATTTTTAAATGCAGGGAAGGCAGATAGATTCATTTGAAAACACAAGAAGCGAACGCAATTGAACAAGGAAGACAGAAAAGGACGGGCCAACCAGACAGCTCAGTGTGACCTCTGACCTGTGTTCACATTCTTTCACTGTTTCTGGAGTTCATGCACCTGCTGTGTTAGAAATCCTGTCAGTGTCCTTCCTCTCCTTTCAAGGTGCAGTGGGAGTACAGTATATTGCTAAAAAAAATGGAGCTTGGAGGGTAGCAGAGGGTCAAACAGTGAATCAGTGAAGCTTTTTTATTCACTCATTTAAAAAAAGGGGGAGAAAAAAAAGGAAAAACACTAGATGTGACATCACATGTGAAGCGCCACATGCAGATTAAGTGTGCCGGGCCCTCGATCAATGGGATCATCAGGACTCTCCAATTAAAGAGGTGGTTTAATACTAGAGGGTCTGTTTGGTGGTAGTGATAAAAAAAAAAAGTCCATTAAAGTTGCTAATTAAATGATAAGCGTAAATTAAAACACAGGTCAAGAGAGTGAACTGTCTGGTGCTTTTTTTTTTGCACCAATATCTCTTGGATGTATGAGGCGGGGCTAGTGAGGGATTTTTTTCCGGTGCTGGTGGTTGGGGGAGGCGACAATCTTGTTTTTTTTTTAAATCACAAATGCAAAAGTGTTTAAAAATGCCTTTTTGGACTTAAGCGTGCGTCTGCCACACATCCATGTAGGACTCCATGGGGGAGGGGAACTGGGGCATGAAATGGGAAGGCGGGTGTGTAAAAATGTGTTGAAGCTCAAGTTTTCTTCTTTGCAGTAATAAATCTGCATTATTATTAATTCAAGATGTAAAAACCGAATATTGTGATACAATATTAATGAGAAATTCCTATTTGTGGCTCAAGATAGCCTCCAGTCCTGGACACATTAACAGCCACTGGGTTTTGTACACAGCCAGACATGCAAAGGACACCCCCCATTCTAATTCGGTTTGCACTTGTTTTATGCGTCTTTACAGTCATGTTGTTGTCAGTTTGCATCTTATTGTGGTTGTTTATAGTCTGTGGCTTCTCTAAGTTTCTCTGTAGTTTTTTATGTTTCTTTGTAGTCATGATGTCATCACTTTGCATCTCTTTGTGATTGTTTTGAATGTCTTTGTAGTTACGCTGTCGACAGTTTACCTTCCTCTTTGTGATTTTGTAACTCATCTTACTGCAGGTCATGGATGTCTCCAGTTGATGGGTGGAGCTTACACATTGCGTAACATATCCGTGACGCTAACAAGAGAATCCTTTTTTTCATTCTGGAAGTGTAGGTCATAGAGGATGCCACGATTCAGCCCAAGTTGTTCTGCTTGCGTCTGTGAAATGCACTAATAAAAACCTCTTCAAAAAGTGTGGCTATGCGGCAACAGCATATTTTATTTCTTTTCCTCTTTTATACACTATTTTCAAAAGAAAACACATTGAATAAATACAAATTTAGAAAGCGACAGATTTTCACTGTATTCTCACAGCAACACATGGTTACTTTTATGGAGCTCTCTCAGGACTAGCAGAGGGATTCGTTTTTGCAGAACCCACCCTAAAGCAGACTTGGGCCACACACTGCAATGGAACACTTAAGACTGGGCATGCAGATGTTGAACCCTACCCCTTTTACAGACACAGAGAGAATGGATTGGCACACTGAGAGACGTTAAGAACATCTAGAAACACCCGAGGGAAGGAAAAGAAATATCTATATACACAAAGAATAAATAAAGAGAAATTAGGTCCAACACAACTTCACTGTACAGATATGTCCATTGGATGTGACCGACCTCTTTCCAGCTCAGCCTCACGTAACCCTTTGACCATCAGCCCCACCCACGATAAATTCAAATATAATATAGTACAACATGGGATGTTCACCAACAGCAGATTGCACCATTTACAATGTTACAAACAAACACAAAATATCATCCAGTGCCTGGCCTATCAGTGTTCAGCGTTCATAGTAAGGCAGGATACAGCAGAGATCTTTGTATCCAGTCAGTGAGTTGTACAACAGGTAGTCCGGCTTGTGTTGACAGTGGTTTTATAAAGTAAACTCCACTCCTGTAGTGTTCCACATTTTGGCAGATGTAGAGTGGCAAAAAAAAAAAGAGTACGGGTTGGATCAGCGCGCAGAGGAAAAGCCAAGAAGGGTGTCAGTAGTATATTACAAATTTTCCCGGGAACTTTCTCTATCAGCCTTTATGGCCGATGTTTCATCCAGACGTTGCAAACGAGAAAAACAGAGCTGCTTACACGGACTAAGGAGGCAGGAGCAAAGATCCAAGATGCAGGGTCCAGGATCTGGACCGTCTACTTGAGGATTGACGAGATGAAAGGGATAGATGCTATCTGACTTCCAAACAGTCCAGGTACTCCTGGGCCAGGTCATAGCAGAACCGGTACTGTTCCTGGAAACAAAACAGAGGCTTGTTTTTTCATATCATGATTATTAAATATTGTAATTAAAGTGGTTACATCTAGACTATTTTCTTATAAACAGTGCTTGGCCATGTCAAACATACAGTAATGTGATAACTCAATAACGTGTTATTCTTATCATATTTCTCTGTAAACATACTGTTTGAAAAGTTATTTTACAAACAAATTAGCTGAAACACGTTGGGAATGTATGCATTTCCAATCAACTCAGGCTACGTTCAACTTGAGATAGGCACGTGCATGAGAAGACAAAGTAAGTCATCATCAATGACACTATGATTTACCACAGTAACATGTAAATAAAGACCAGACTGGCCAATATAATCCAGCGGATTATATTATATGTCAGTGCTGAGCGTGATATTCGTCATGAAAAACAGGAGAGATTTTAATCAGTTTGGTCCACTCTGTCATCGTTAAAGAGAGAATAAAATTTTGATATAAAATATACATATTTTTATACTGTTTTTAGTTATCATTTAGGGTTAGGGTTGAATTTTGAATTTTGATTTGAAAGCTATGATCCAAGAGGAACAAAATGTAGGCGACGGAAACAGAAGATAAAACTCAGGAGAAACAGATCATATAAAGTTTATTTATAGATCTGTGGTTTTAGTTACCAGAGTGAAGCTGCCACAAAGACATTTTTAAATTCAAACGCGTTTATGTTTTTTCTTTATAATTCTTCAGTAGAAATCTAACGTACTGATGGTAATGTAGTAACCTAATTTTTTCTTTCTTTTCCGATACGAAATGTCATTATTTCTTCCCTCGCTGGTTAAAAATGCTTTTAGCCCCAACCCCCCACCGATGCCCATCAACAGGTTCTCTTTATAGAGTCTGTTACCCCAGTAACAGAGAGAGTTTAAGTGAACTCTTTCCAGAACAGAAAAGTAGGAGTTTCCCCTCATCTCAGGGTTAACAAAAATCAGAGCTATTAGCTAAACCTTCCTAGAATAGTCCCAAAGTCTCCTCCTTCTTGCTTACCATTGTCTCCACCATGTTTGGCTTAGAGTTGCGCAGCGTTTTGGCAGCAAAGAACACATCCACCATGCTGTGGTGTCGAATCATTTCCAGGATCATGGTGCAAGCACAGAAAGTACCGCTTCGACCGCCGCCATTCCTACTCCAGAAGGAATGAACAAAGACACACACAGAAAATAGAAGCATAAAGACATGAGTGACCTAATAAAGATGTGGTAGAGCAGCTCACGCAGCCTCTCAGAGGGGGAGCTACAGAGTGAAATGTCACAGTTTGACTGACCGCAGATCAAGCATGCTGCCAGAAAAAGGCCAGCCGGCAGTCATGCAAGATGAATATCTGAGTAAAGTTCTCATTAAAATACAAGAGCTGGGATTTAATCAGATATTAAATGTCTTACACATAGCCTGATCTCCAGAGAACAAAGGCCCTGACATGAGGACAGGGGACAGTAATTATGCGGCGCTGATGCCATATTTATTGGATAATATTTCTTCAGCAAAACTGAAATTTAACTGTTAAGAAAAGAACTTTCTGTAACCATTTAAAGAAAAAGTAGCAAGGCGAACAATGTGAATGTAAGCTGTCATTACTCGCAGTACGGACTACTTAAGGTCAAACATTCAGAAATTCAGCCTTCAACAGAGTCTGAAAGAGACTGAGAACCTCAGCCTTTAAGACATGAAAACTGTTGTACTCATAATGCTAATGCTTGAATCCAGTAAATACTTTAATAGTGCATAGACAAATAAATGAAGTAAAAATTCCTTTTGCATGATGCAAATTACATGCACGGCACTGTGAAGTGTTCACCCTCTCCCTAATTTATTTCATTTAATTTTTATGCAATTTTTGTAATAAAACAAATGCAATTTTAGACAAAGTTTTTAAATTACTACATTCATTAAAGGAAAAAACTGTTCAAACCTATCTGGCCCTATGTGAAAAAAAGAATTACTCCCTGTTTGTCACAATGAGTCTTTCACATTGCAAGTGATCCAGGTCCTGAAGCAGGTACTCACATGGTGCCCTTATTTAGCACTTTGCTAGTCATTGTACATATATTCAGAGCACACTGTGTACTCTACATCCATGGCCAATTTAAAATTAGTTAACCTATCATGCGTATCTTTGGACTATGGGAGGAAGCTAAAGCACCTGCATGGTGAACATACAAACCTCACACAGCAGGCGTTTTAACCAGGAACTGTGGAGCTGTGATGCAACCGTCACTATCTTTCTACCCAGTGCTGGTACAAAGCAAACAACCCCAAGTGCTTATTGTAGCAATGATAGCTAAATTAAGGAAACAGAATGGATGGTGCAGGTGTATGTAAGCAGACTCACAGGCAATGAACAATGGTGCGTCCTTCCCCACACTCCCTCTGCCAGTTGTGAACCTGAGCCAAAAGGCTAAGGAAGGCTTTCTTGGAGTCGGGCACATCACGGTATGGAGACCAGCGCAGGAACTGGAAGTGACGCACAACAAGCTGGCCCTCCTGAAGCTGCACAGGAGAGAAGCAGAAAAAGGAAAAAGCTTCATCATGCATGCTTCACACACTACAAACCCATTCAGAAACATATGTGCTTATCAGCTAGAGGCAATTCTGTCAGCTCTCAGACCTGTTCTGCTTCTGTACTTTTCTATTAGGAGGTTGGTAAAAACACATCAAACTCAATTATCAACAAAAATGTAAACATAGTTTAGAAGCCATCAGATTTCATATCTTCAATACATTCCTACCAAACAGCACGTAAGTGTTGCAAGCAAGTATTTTGTCTAGTGTCAATTATATCGTCAGTTATATCGTTATCGCAAATTTTCAAATGTATATCGTGATAAATATTTTTGGTCATATCGCCCTGCTCTATTCAATACATTCCTACCAAACAGCACTAACCAAATCTTTTGAATTTAAAGTTACAGTTTTCTACATTTGCACCTAAATAAAATATGCACAAGTTTTTTATACTTAGACAACTGTTGCTGATTTAAAACATTCATCTTCATGTAGTCATGTTTACAGATACTTGATGACTTTAGATCTAATAGCTATCCTCTTAGCTATAGTTTCACCTTCAGCAATTCCTGGTAAAAGGAATTTTAGCTGATAAATAGTTCACTAACGTAGCTATAAACCAGGTGCATCAGAGCAGAGAAAGTGAAATGAAAACACAACAGTTTTGGGCTCTTAAAAAACAGAGAAAGATGGAACAATCTCCTTTAGAGATTGGTTTTAATTATCTCTGAGGCTGTTAGTAAAATTACAAACGGTCGCTTGATCGAATCATATAAAAATATTGATTGGTGCAGCTTTAAAAGCATATTTTATTAGCGTATTTGATGGCTACTTGAATGTTTGACCTCACCAAAGCCCAGGCTATGTCCAAAAATACAGTTTCAACATTTCAAGGTCTTAGGTGTGTTTAACTGACACACAACCTTTTTTAAAAAAAAATAAAGAAAATGTAGAGGATACTAAAACATTGCTTTATAGTGTTTTTAGTGAAGAAGAACTCCATAAGGAACCTTTAATTTTAAGGAATACAAGAAGTAACGATGCCTCTGTTGTGAGGTAGAAGCGCATCACAAATAAGATAATGTTTGGTAACATGTAGGACCTGTGCTATCTACTGGACAATAGAATACCTTCTTAGGACAGAGTTTAATGGTCTCTTGCTCTGGTGTTTCTGTCTTCTCCGGATCCTGTGGAGCGCATGTGGGAACAGTTTCTGACATGATGTTAAGATAATTGAGGGGCCGAGTGGGATACTGAAGTAACAGGGGAGGTTAACACTACTGTGAGCTAAAGACAAGAGACACATCTGCTTCTGAAAGCACCTACAGATGATTGTTGAGGATCTACTGAGGTCAAAGGATAAGAGGTGCAACTGCTGCTACAGGTCATGCTAAGCTACTCAGACAACACTCATGCACATGAGTGAACACAAAGACTCACTACTGGTAACACAAATATTTCAGTCATACTCAAATGTTGGATATGGTCAAAATAAAAAGAAAACTTTTTTAAAGTAATATTTGATTGTTAAAATCTCTTTCAGTATTGTATATTTGCTCAAATTAAACAAAAACTGCTTATTAAATAGGTCTCGGGACCACATGCAGCAAATTACTCCGACCGCTGAGAAGAACAAAATCAAGACCTAGGTCACCGTTCAGAATTATTATATGTGTCAGGCTTCAGTTATGCTCTTGAAAATAAATGAATTGATTGGGCGCCAGGAACTACAGCTGCAAAAAAAGTTGTCTGCCGAGGTAGGGCTTGGTCAAGTGTTTTTGTCCATATTCAATGTTAAAGTAAAAACATGTCATTTGATAAGAAAATTAGATGTTTAAACAGCAATTTTAGAAATTAAGTCTGTCAAAGTGACATATCAAGGGAACCGCGAGACATGCAGGGTTTACACTTGGATCTTAATGTTTCTGATTCTGTGGTAGAAAGAAAACGGAGGGAAAGCAATTAAACTCGTTCATTAAGTCAAGTCGGAGAAAATAGTTTGGACACTGGGGAGAAGTTAAATAGTTTGGAATTGTAGAAACCAGCAGTATCTCTCCATTCTGTTGCTGCCTTGTCATGGTAATTCATGACATACAAAATAACAGAAACATTTGAAATCTCAAACAAAAAACCTTTAGAGATTTATGTAAGGCCTGCCTGATGCCACTCAGTTGTGTGCATGTAGAAATACAGGGCTTATAGGAAAGGTGGGCTGCCTGAGTGGGAATTCTAAGTCTTTCTCAAGATAATAAAATGCAGGTTTTTTACTCTAATGATCGACACATATACCTAATCTAACCTAATATATCTATAAGTCCATCCATCCATTCGCTTATCCTTTTCAGGGTCGCGGGGGGCGCTGGAGCCTATCCCAGCTGTCATGGGGCGAGAGGCGGGGTACACCCTGGACAGGTCGCCAGTCTGTCGCAGGGCTAACACACAGAGACAGACAACCATTCGCACGCACATTCATTTACACATTCCCACCTAGTGACAATTTGGATTAATCAATTAACCTATCCCCACAAGCTGCATGTCTTTGGATGGTGGGAGGAAGCCGGAGTACCCGGAGGGAACCCACGCAAACACGGGGAGAACATGCAAACTCCACACAGAAAGACCCCGGCCTGATGTTGGAATTGAACTCAGGACCTTCTTGCTGTGCGGCAACAGTGCTAACCACCGTGCCACCGTGCTGCCTATCTATAAGTCTTGATTCTATAATGTAGTGACTGAAGAAAACCACTGGCATTTAGACTGATTCCCTATAAGCCTCATTGTGGACTTCTAGAAGAACCAAAACAGGAGGACAGTTGTTGATTTGCAATATCAGGTATATATCTGTAGCTTTCCCCCTGTGTTTCTCTGTTACCTCCACCTGCATCTCATTCTCACTCTGTTTGTCACTCCCAAGGTATGTAAACTCTAGTCCTCTGTTCCGCTTTGTAAACTCATCCGTTGTGTATTCCTTACTCAGGGCCCTATTCCAAGAATTAGGTTTAACTAACAGCTCCAAGCTTGATGACCCCAAATGAGGAGAACTTTGAATTTTCTGTTCCTGAAAGAGAGTTAAGCTTAGTGGAGTACATGCTGTGAGCCCTGTACTAGTGATTTCAACATGCCCAGGGTATGTTTCTTTATCTGGATTCACTTAACATAACACTGGTGTTTATTAGGATAAGTGGTCACACAAAGCTGGTGACCAGCTCACTATGTTAACCCAGGGTTCCCCCTATGCTTAGCTATCCCAGACTGTGTGAATGGCATCGCTCTAAAAGCTCTACAGCTGTGGAAAACCTACCAGAAAGCCTCTACAACAGTTGTCCACATCCAAACTCATGACTTAAAATATCATTAGTCAGAGACCCTCAAAAAAGACTCGTGGGCCTTCTATGGCCACTTGAAAGCAGCGTATCATGTTTGCTGACACCCTCCTATTAGTGTTGTGAAGTTTAGCTGTCTGTGTGAGTTTCACATCTGGCTTCTGCAGGAATAATGACATCCCCTTTGTGGACAACTTGACATCATTCCTCAACCTACGTGAACCTTTTAAAGCAAAATGATCTTCACCCAAATGACGGGGATTCAAGTATTTTGACCACAAATATTGATCTAAGCCTTCACTTGTGATTTCTACAGCATGACGATGGAAAACTCCTGCTAACCCCTGCTCCATTACAGGTACAGTTATTTTCTTACCATTAATATTAGATAGATTTTCACAAGATAAATTGCACATCTGCTGTTCTACCACTACAACACCAAGTTTTTAGGTCTCAAGGTCAGCCACTTCAGCTTCACCAATGCCTGTGATTATAAGGCACAGATGGAAAAACCCACATTGACCATATTTCTACAGCCAGGTTTAATAATCTTACTGTACCATGCAAGTGTCAGCCACAGAAGCTCGTCTCTCCTGCAGTTATCGGTTATTGTAAAAGTAGATATTTTAACTAGTAAATCATTTGTTTATAACGGGTTTGTGGCCTGCAGTATCTGTTTCAGTTGGTTTAAACCAGGGCACTGCTGGTTTCAGGGAATTTTAGTCACCCAACTACAAATTCTTGAATTCTTGATTCTGAGACTGTCAGGCAAACTAATGCTCTTGTAAACTAAGAGCATTAGTTTACAAGGATAATTTAAACTGTATTTAATTTTACTCATGATTCATTTCACACTTGCCGAGTCACTGCTTTTCAAAATTCAGTGTGAATATCCACTTTGCCTTATTGTTATCTACCAAACTCTTAAATCTGGTAATATTTCTGAATGAATTCTCTAATCTGCTTTCATCTGACTAATTTACACATTGATGATCCCTGTAACTGCACTGCCAGAGATTTTCTTAATATTTCAAAGTCATTTAACTTAGCACATCAGTTAAATGACTAATAAGGACATAATGGTGGACGTACACTGGATCTGGTCTTTACTCTCATTATATCAATAAACTCCCTGAAAGTGTCTGAATCATTGTCTGATCACAAATGTAGAATTTCTGACACTTTTACAGTCAGTCTTGTCTTCCCAGAACATTTTGCCAGTTTGATTAACAATAATATGCACAATCCAAGGTTCTTGTTCAACACAATGACACATTTTTATATTTTCTATCTATGAAAAGAAATTCTGAACGTTTTTGTTACCAAGATTAACTGTAGCAAGTCACAGTTTAGTTCTGTTTTTGTGCAACCTGCCCAACAGTTACCCACTACCCACTTCTGTTTTTCAGGTTTTATCTGATTTTCACAACAGATCTCATTGATATAGTCACACACATGCACACTTCTTCCTGCCCAGCTGACATTATCCCTCCTAAATTGATTAAAGAGGTTTTACCTGTCATCTCCGCTTGACTTCTCTCTATTATAAACAATTCCCTTTTATCTGGCTGCAATCCAGACTACGTTAACCCTGCCAGTGTCATCCCTCTGCTTAAAAAAACCTTCATAGACTCCACTAATTTACAGATTTACAGTCCTATTTCCAAACTGCCATGTTTTTCAAATATGTTTGTGAAAGTTGAGGCTCATCAGCTTCTTCAGCTGGTTCAGGGAAACAACATTCATTTCATTGATAGCACTGAAACAGCATTACTGAAAATGAATCACATTCTTATCTGCACCTCTCATACAAAGTATCTGAGGTAACATAACTCAGATATAGACTTAGCTTATGCACAAATTGAATATATAGCATCCACAATTACAATGTACGTGACCACTTTTAAGATCACATACTAAAGAATATAAAAATTGCTTCAAAGGTTGCTGCAGCTGCTTTTTAAAAACATTTCGACTCTTTTACAAGAGCGCGCCGCGGTCTGAGGGATCTTCCAGGAACTGTGGAGCTTTTTTGTGGATAACTGATTGATCAGTAGGCGGTGATTTCATACCCACTGATCTCTTACCTCAAAATTAACCTGCTCCAAAGCAGGTTTGGTGTGGAGCGTAAGTTACCATGGTAATGCAACCTGGTAAGAAGTGAGCCACCCTGTAATACTGACCCAGAAATAAACCTGAACTTACCTGGATTAAAAAAAGTGAGTATATCCATGCCCTGTGTGCGGGATTTTTGTCATGATGGAACAGGATGTTACAGAACAGCTTGGCACTGACTATCAGATATAAGCCTTTGGATGTTGAACAAAACTAACTGTAGTGGTATACTGGATTCTTGTCATCAGTAATGGCTCTCGACACAAAGGTGGTTGTTAGAGATTCTTGAAAACGTCAACATGGTCCCTCCAACCCACATAGCAAAATTGTTATGGCTCAGATCTGGCCAACACAATGTGCTTACACATGGCCCACATACCGCAAAGAATGACGGCCCTTTGGTGGTCCAGATCTGGTTTGCCAGAGTTGGCCCACACATGGGCCAGCACAAGGCCAGTTGCAGACACACTGGTGGCCCTGTGCTGGCCCAGAACAGTTTCAGCTCTGGCCCCAAATGTCAGCCTAATGTGTACCACACATATAATAACAACATGTGCTGGAACAAAATAGTGCAAAAGTAACATGACAAATCTCCCCTGAAACAGTGAATGGACTGATTCTAATGTAGTGCTTTTCTAC